TATTTTTTGCACTTAAGTTTTTGCACTTTATTTTATGCACTTTATTTTCGAAGCATAGGAGAAGAGGTAAATTTTCTACACTTTATTTTATGCACTTCCTTTTTGAAGTATAGGAGTAGAGGTAAATTAATGGTTAGTTTGATTGTTCATTCAATCACTCCGATTATTTACTTAATCATTTTTCTCGGTCTCCCTCCTTTTAATTTTTTTTTTCTCTACACTTAGCAATTTTGAAATCCTCTTCATTGAGGCAAAAGAACCATCAATACAATCGCTTGATAATTGGTTTGAATTTCATCTGTAAGGATTTTTCAATCCTTGCTGGCACACTCACATTTACGGTATTTTCCTTCATAGAAAAAATAAGCCAACAATACTCTTTTAAAAAATGTATACTATATGTACCTTTAATTATGTCATTTTCTTCTTTAATTATAATATTATTCTACTTATAATTTATAAGTTATTTAGTTATACTTCATATTGTGTTTAGTTATGAAATATTATTTAATTATGATTCAGAAAGTATGAAATTATAATTATAATATGTATGTGGTACGTACCCTTTGAAAGGTGTACTATATTGTTTCCCTTAAAAAAAAAGAAGATAAATTATACTAACACCCTCTTAAACTTGTCATTTTTATTTGGTATTTGGAAAGTAAACTCAAGTCTTTTTTATTTTTATTTTTATTTTGCCTCTCAACAACCACATGCAATTTTGTCATAGCTCTGACTTTATTACCTCGAAAAATCAAAGTTGATCATTGAAGTTTTTTAGCTTTTAGTTTTTATTTTCACTTAAACTATTTATATTTTAAGTATTTTTTAATTTATTTTAAAATTGATTTTTATTTAAAATTAAACAGAAAATGACACGTTAATTGTTACATGACATAAAAATTAGAGGAAATATCATTTTGCCCTCCAAACTTTCTCTCGTTTTTCAATTTGACACATAGACTTCAATTAATATTAATTTTACATCTAAACTTTCAAAATTTTAATCAATTTAGCCCCTACTGTCACATTTTGTCTACAATTAAATGGAATATGTTGACGTGACATCAAAATTCATTTAGAATTTCATTTTACCCCCCAAATTATACATTAAAAATCAATTTACACCCAAATATAAAAAAAATAAATTCAAATATTTAATAAAAATTGTACTCAATAATAAAAAAAAAATTAAATTTTAAATAATATATACTTTGCCAAAAATAAAAAATATAAAATATAAAAATTCTCATTTAAAATTATCTTGAAACTACGAAGTATGGATAATTCGACAAATATGTCGTACCCATACTGGGTACTTACGTATGGTATTTCTGTATACGTATCAGGTACACAAAACACATACTCAATTTTTTTTCTTCTTAATTTTTGGTGTACCCAAACATACCTAGTATATACCCAAGTGTCGTACCTCAGTTGTAACAATATTTTCTTTTACTACGAAGATAAAATTCTTTTTACTAGACTTCTTTTCATTTTTAATTTTGTACTTAACATGGTTTTAAATTAAGTTATGATTTGTAAGTTATTTAATATAATGATATTTAATTTTTGTTTATCTTATAACTGTAGTTTTTGCATTAAATGTCAATTGTATGTTGGATTTAACAAATTAAACTATTTAATCAATTTTTTTGTTTTATTCCAAATTAAAAATAAATATTTTTCACAAATGTATTAAGCCGTATCTATATCCTATTTTTTTTTTCAAATTTGTTCGTATTGACATACCCATATCATAACAATACCATTACTCATACCCGTACATGTGCTTCATAGGCCTCAAATTATTTCGAATCGATCCAACTTTATTTAGCTGAAAATTTCTTGATTACTCTATGTGTATGCACGTAATTGTACCTAATTTATTACCCAAATTAATTTCAATAGAATTGATCGACTAATAGTAATTTCAAAATTGGGTGAAATTTTTTTTCAAAATTCGGTAAGTATATCCAGTACGGGTGTGACATGTTTGTCGACTTACCCATGCTTCATAATCTCAAGATAATTCTAAATGAGGATTTTTATATGTTTTATTATTTTTTTTTTGCAAACTATATATTATTTAAAATTTGATTTTTTCATTATCGAGATAAAAAATTATTTATTAAATATTAAAAAAATTTTAATATTTGGAGACAAATTAATTTTTAAGGTATAGTTTGGGAATAAAATGAAATTCCAAATGAACTGTGATACCACGTCAGCACATTCTATGCAATTGCAGACGGAATGTGATGGCAGGAGCCAAATTGATCAAAATTTCAAAAATTTAGGTGTAAAATTGATATTAATCGAAGTTTAGGGGTTAAATTCAAAACGTGCGAAAGTTTGAGAGCAAAATGATATTTTTTCTAAAAATTATATTATTATACTAGAATTTGGATTTATATCAACTGTATGAGTTTTATATAATAAAATATTTTTATCTCATGTAGCTATCAATATATAATTTTTTTTGTCTAATTTCAGACATACGTTGATTTTTAGAATAAATTGAAAAAAAAAGAAGTTAAAAGATAAAAAATTAAAGTGATAATAAAAAAATTAAAAAAACCCAATAAAAGTTAAAATAAAGAAATAAAAAAAAATTGACCAAATTTGAATGGAGAAAGTGAAAAGTAAACCCTTTGTAATTATCTTTCTTTCAACAATTACAATTTTGTCATTACCCTGACTTTCCGAATCCTTAGTACCTACGTAGGCCTTATTTGGTAGGGCTTAGTTTCAACTTATTTCATCTTTTCACTTAATTTAAGCTATTTTGATGTGTTTAGTTCATCTTAACAATACAACTTATAACTTTTTATAAGTTAAAAATCAACTTATTCTTTGAGTAGGGGAGGAGAAACTTAATCTATAAGTCAAAAATCAGCTTATGTTCACAGTTATAAACTATAAGCTATTAGGCTATAAATTATAATCATTTTTCCACAGCTCTACCAAACAGGACCGTAGTAAACCCAAGTAATTGACTAATGACCAAGGCAGATAGATGCATGTTCATGTTTTTATACCAGGTAAACCTAAGCTCCTGTTGATATAGCTCAAATCTTGTTCCCACTTTGCCAGCCAAAATGTTTGTTAGATAGAAAACGGGGGCAAAAAAAAAAAATGAGGGCAATAAAAAAATATTTTAATATGATTGTTGAAAGAAATAAAATGAAATGGCTTTCACATTAGTTCATAAAAGTCAATTAGCCTAAGAAAAATCAATTTTGGTGGTTGAAGGAATGAGTCGTTCCACGTTATCATTAGATAAAATATCTAAAAAAAATTAATTTGAAAGTAATGAGTTTTATTGTTTTAATTCATAAAATCAAATTGAAACACTAATATTTTAGGGTGAAGTATTAACAAATCTTAAATAGTGGTTTTATAAATTGTTTGGTCCTCTATATATATATATATTTTTTTTTATAGACTCAAAAGTCTCATTCTAATGTGAATTACATAAAAGATTAAGTATAAACGTGCATATGTTATGTGTTGAGGGAAAAATGTGAATTTTCTCATAATGTTGAAATTGTTAAACGTAACACTTCAAAAAACATTTCGTAGTTTATTTTTCTTAAACGTAACACTCAAAAGACATAAAACTCTAATGTAATAGACTAAAAAACTCTTTAGTGTATTTTTTTCAAACGTAACAACGTAATATTATAAAAACTCCTTAATGTACTTTTTCAAAACGTAACAATCCAATCAATGTAACATACAAAACTCTTTAATATGCTTTTTCCAAAGGTAACACTCTAATGTAACACACTAAAAACTTTTTTAGTGTGTTTTTCTCAAACATAGCAATATAACATTTAAAAAAAACCTCCTTTGTGCATTTTTTCCAATTGTAACATGTTGTGAAGTAATCTTGATTGTTTGTCAAAAATGGAAGCTGAAATTCAATGCGTTGGTTGCTGCATTTAATGCGTTGGTTGATAGCCATATACGCATTAAATGATTTCATACTGATAGTTGTACTTGCAATAAATGCGTTCACATTATATGTTTTTATCTATATATAGCAATGTTATTGTAAGGTTTCAGAGTGTGGGAGAAAGAATGGAAGAGTGCTCTGTTTGTATGTTTTTCCTCAGAATTATTTTGAGTGAATTTAAATTTCAGTTTTGTTGAGTTTTAAACCTCTCATTGTGAATCACCAATAATGGTTTCCACCCCACTCCCACCAACAGTGGTATCAGAGCCGAAGGCAGCTTGAATTTGCAGACATTCTGCAAAATTTTCAAGAACAATGTGTGTTTTCAAAAATTGCCCAGAAATCAAAGTGGTCGAAATCCATTTTTGATTACATCATCATGAAGCTCCCGACGAGACACGAATAACCGTGAAAACCGCGTCGAAAACGGATCTCAGAAGACTCCACACGTACCACATGCACCACCGACGCCGTTCTTACGTGCCACCACGCGCTCACACGCCGCACGCACTGTCTAGAGGAAGAAGACGCGTGATCCCACGCGCAAGCACGCGCCACACGCGTACACACCTGACGTCATCCACTAACGTCATCTGAGCCGCTGACCAACTTTGACAGAGCCGCGCCGCCGTTGACTTGAGTCGCTGACTGAGCCGAGCCGCCGTTGATTAGAGCTGCTGACCGAGCTGATCTTGAGTCGCACCGCTAACTAAGACGCATTGACTGCGCTGTTGACCGAGTCGCTGACATGAGCACACCGGGGTTAATCTAGTGTGACGCGGCTAAGGTGCAGCCGTAGATTTAAACTGTTCAACTTGTTTTGGCATGATCTGAGCCATTCGGAGTCTGTGTCTGGTGATCAAATAGTGCTTTCCAACTATTTGGAGTATTCCGAACACATCTGTACGGTCAGAATTTGCAAATTTCATCCTTAAAATTTGTAATTTTTTAAAGACAACCAATGGCCAACACAAACAACTTCTTTTAGCCCTAGTTTCCAAAACTGAACAAGGAGAACTATGAAAATTGGAGTATTCAAATGCAAGTCCTACTAGCCTCACAAGATTTGTGGAAGTTAGTGGATCGAGGATATGATGAGCCAGCTACTCTCGAAGATGAACGAAATTTAAATGACGCTCAAAAGACGACGCTAAAAGATTCAAGGAAGAGAGATAAAAAGGCTTTGTATCTACTCTATCAAGGCATTGATGAGTCAAGTTTTAAGAAGATTGCAGCAGCAACAACCTCTAAAAAGGCATGGAGTATTCTTCGCAATTCACACCGTGGAATTGAGAAGACGATCAGAGTTCGACTCCAAGTGTTACGTGGCGAATTCGAGATGTTGCACATGAATGAGAATAAGTCAATTTTTGAGTACTTCAACAGAACATTGACCATTGTTAATCAGATGAGAAGATATGGAGAGAAGATGGAATCTCTTCAAGTGATAGAGAAGATTCTACGATCACTTAGTCCCAAGTTTGAGCACGTGGTTGTAGCAATAGAAGAGTCCAAAGATCTCAGTGCCATGACCACCGATGAGCTGATGGGCACACTTGAGATTCATGAACAAAGAATCAACAAGAAGACTCCCTCAAGTTCTCTAGAGCAAGCTCTTCAATCAAAGCTGTCTTTCAGAGATGACAGGAACGAGCAAGGGGTTACAATAACCAAAGTTCTGGTTTTTGAGGAAGAGGTGGAAGAGGTCTAGCCAGAGGAGGAAGAAGTCAACCACACTTTCCTCCAAGAGGAAGAGCAAGAGGTAGAGGAGGTGGTTACAACAACCAACCAGGATTTGACAAAAGCAATGTTTAGTGCTACTAGTGCCACAAGTTCGGGCATTACAGCAATGAATGCCGAAGTAGAACAAAAACAGAAGCCAGAGAGCAAGCAAATTTTGCTGAGGAGGAAACAAACAAAGTTGGACCTGCGGTCCTGTTTGTCCACCATGGAGACACTGAAAACCAAAACAATGTTTGGTATCTAGATTCGGGAGCCAATAATCACATGTGTGGTAAAAGAGAGTTGTTCATTGAGTTTGACGAGACTGTACAAGCACAAGTCTCATTTGGCGATTCTTCAAAGACTCCGGTGAAAGGAAGAGGTAATATTCTGATCAAGCTCAAGAATGGAGATCATGATTACATTTCCAATGTTTATTATGTTCCTGCCATGAAGAATAACATTTTGAGTATGGGACAACTCCCTAAGAAAGGATACGACATCAGCATGAAAGTTGTCATCTTACCATCAAAGACAATCATGGTAATTTGATTGCTCGGGTAAGAATGTCCAAGAATTAGATGTTTGCATTGAACATCCGGCATGGTGCTGCGAAGTGTTTAAGTGCCATCATCAAAGACAAAGACTGGCTATGGCATTTGAGGTTTGAACATCTCAACTTTGGAAGCTTGAAGCTGTTGTCAAGTAAGAATATGGTGAAAGGGCTCCCTCATATTGCTCAAACTAATGAGGTCAGTGAAAGCTGCATTCTTGGCAAGCATCATAGAACTAGCTTTGCCAAAACAAGTGAAGTGGAGAGCAACAAAGCCGCTGGAGCTAGTGTATACTGATGTGTGTAGTCCATTGAAGCCAATGTCAAATGGACATAATAGATATTTTCTCACCTTCATTCATGATTATAGCCAGAAGACATGGAGGTGTTCAGTATCTTCAAAGAATATAAAACTTTTGTAGAGAAGCAAAGCGGCTACTACATTAAGACATTGCGATCAGATCAAGGTGGAGAATATACATAAGATGCTTTTGAGAATTATTGCAAAGAGCATGAAATCAAGCATCAAACAACACCATCTTATACGCCACAACTGAATGGTGTTGCTGAAAGGAAGAATCGCACAATCTTAGATATGGAAATGAGCATGTTGAAAGGAAAGGGATTGCCCAAGCAATTTTGGGTTGAAGCCGTATCATGTGCTGTGTATCTACTAAATAGATGCCTAACCAGGTGCCTTTATTCTATGATTCCAGAAGAAGCTTGGAGTTCACATAAGCCAAGTGTCAATCATCTCAGAATATTTGGATGTGTTGCGTACACTAAGATTCCAAAAGCAAGAAGAACCAAGCTTGATGATAAGGGAGAAAAATGTATCCTTGTCGGATATGGAGATAGAACAATGGGATACAAGTTGTATAATCCCATTACCAGAAAGATGATCATGAGTAGAGATATCATATTTGAAGAAGAAGAAGCCTGGAACTTGAATCAAGATAAAGTTGTTAAAGATGCAGAACTAATTCTTGAAGATGAAACATCGAAAGCTCCGGTTGAAATTACAAGAGAAGTTCAAGATGAGCCACAAACTCCTCCACATAGAATACCTGCACCTAGATCACCAGTTTCTCACAGAAGTGCTGCATCATCATCATCATCATCATCAGATGATAGTTTTTTCAAATAACCAAGACCAATGAGAAATTTGCAGGAGATATATGAAGCTACAGAAGAAGCAGATCTGAATTTGTTCTGCCTACTCGCAGATAGTGATCCACTTACTTTCTCAGAAACCATCCAAGAAGATAAATGGAAGAAAGCAATGGATGAAGAAATTCATGCCATTGAGAAAAATGACACATGGAAGCTTACCAGTCTACCAGAGGGGCACAAACCCATTGGAGTGAAATGGGTATACAAGACAAAGAGGAATGCACAAGGCGAAGTGCAACGCTACAAGGCAAGGTTAGTAGCAAAAGGTTACAAGCAGAGAACTGAAATTGACTATGGGGAGGTGTTTGCTCCAGTTGCCCGATTGGAGACTATCAGGCTAATGATTTCTTTGGCTGCCTAGCACAAGTGTCAAATTTATCAACTGGATGTGAAATCTGCATTTCTTAATGGTTTCCTTGAAGAAGAAATCTATATTGAACAACCTTTGGGGTATGTTCAGAATGGGCATGAAGACAAAGTGTACAAATTGAAGAAAGCACTTTATGGATTGAAGCAAGCTCTGGGTGCATGGAATACTAGAATTGATCAGTATTTTCATGACAATAGTTTTGAAAAATGTCCATATGAGTACGCACTATATTTGAAGAAGGAAGCTGATAGAAGCATGTTGTTTGCTTGTCTTTATGTTGATGATCTAATTTTCACCGGAAACAAACCAGCCATATTCAAAGACTTTAAAAGAAACATGGTCCAAGAATTTGAAATGACAGATATTAGATTGATGGCTCATTTTCTCGGCATTGAAGTGGCACAAAGAAAAGATAGAATTTTTATTTTCCAAAGTGGTTATGCCAAGGAAATTCTCAAGAGATATGGAATGGAGAATTGCAATCCAGTGAACACTCCTGTAGACAGTGGAGTGGAGCTCAGAAAAGGTACGAAGGCAGGTGATGTGAATCCAACTTATTTCAAGAGCCTTGTTAGAAGTCTTCTCTATCTTACTTGCACCAGGCCAGACATACTCTATGGAGTAGGACTGATTAGAAGATATATGGAAACACCAGATCAGTCACACCTTTATGTAGCAAAGAGGATTCTTCGCTACATCAAAGGTACAGTCGATGATGGTTTATTCTATAAACCAACTGATAACTTTAGTCTTGTTGGCTACTCAGATAGCGACTGGGGACGTGACTTGGATGAAACGGAAAAGTACTACGGGATTTACTTTCTTTATGGGAGAGACAGCCTTCACATGGTCGTCCAAGAAGCAAGCCATTGTGACATTATCAACTTGTGAAGCTGAGTTTGTTGCAGCCAACTCAACTGTATGCCATGCAATATGGTTATGGAACATGCTGAAGCATTTGGGATTTCCACAAGAAAAACCCACTGAGATCTATGTTGATAATCGCTCAGCAATTGCATTGGCAAAGAACTCAGTTTATCATGAAAGAAGTAAGCATATTGACACCCGCTATCATTTCACCCGAGAACAAGTGAAAAATAAAGAGGTGGAATTGTTTCCTTGCAAATCTCAAGATCAGCTTGCAGATATTTTCACGAAGCCATTGAAAAATGATCTGTTCAACAGAATGAAGATAATGCTCGAGATGGCACAGCATGGAGAATCAAGATTAAGGGGGGATGTTGTGAAGTAATCTTGATTATTTGTCAAAAATGGAGGCTGAAATTTAATGCGTTGGTTACTGCATTCAATGCTTTGGTTGATAGTCGTATACACATTAAATGATTTCATACTGATAGCTGTACTTGCAATAAATGCGTTCACATTATATGTTTTTATCTATATATAGCTATGTTATTGTAAGGCTTCAGAGTGTGGTAGAAAGAAAGGAAGAGTGCTTTGTTTGTATGTTTTTCCTCAGAATTATTTTGAGTGAATTTAAATTTCAATTTGGTTGAGTATTAAACCTCTCATTGTGAATCGCCAACAGTGGTTTGCACCCCACTCCCACCAACATAACACTCCAATGAATGTAACACAGAGAAATTCAGTGTATTTTTTTTTTTCAAATGTAACACTCTAATATAATACTCCAATGTAACACTAGAAAATCACACAAACAAAAACATAGATTTCCATACTTAACAACCAATACTTCAGCCAACAATCCTTCCAAAAAGAATCTTCCACACTTCACCTTTCCATTCTTATCCCAAAAATGAATTAGAAAATTAACAAAAGGACATTAACTTAAATTTAAATGGCCCCAAATCAAATAATTATAACTTTCCAAAACAAAAATGACTAATTGGTTCATAAGAAAACTCTTAAGACTAAATGGATCAACATTCTCTTATATGGGATTTATGGATAAATTTTCCAATATTCTATTGGATTTACTGGAATGAGTTGGAATGGAATATAATGACCATTCTCTTAAAATGGTGAATGATCATTCCATTTGCAATGCATGTTGTCATTATTTTTTTTTATTATTATTTTTTTTGGTCAACTAAACATAAGAATGAATGTTTTGATGAAATGATTATTTCATTCCATTTCCTTCCAATGAACCAAATACTATCTAAATGTAGTTACTCTAAGAGCACTAATTTTCCAATTATATAATTTTCAAGAATTCTATATTACACATACCTTACCATATATAATTTTCCATTATATAATACACTTCCCTTACCATATATAATACACATCCATTATATAATTTTCCATTATATAATTTTCGAGAATTCTATAATACACATCCCTTATCATATGCACCCTTAGTTATGCTATTTTCTTCTTTAGTTATGGCATGTTTTTGATATGATACACATCCATTACATACTTTTCCATTATATAATTCTATAATACACATCCCTTACCATATATAATACACATCCATTATATAATTTTCCATTATATAATTTTCAAGAATTCTATAATACACCTTCTTTACCATATGCACCCTCAGTTATGCTATTTCTTCTTTAGTTATAACATGTTTTTGATATGTTTGATTATGTCTCATGTAGCATTTGGTTATGACTTTTTGTTTTTATTTTTATTTTAGTTATGACTCAAAAAGTATAGAATTATGTAACTTTGTTTTTTAATTATAAGGTGTATATAATACACACCTTTTAAAAGATGTGTACCATAATATTTTCTAATAATTTTTCCTAAAACCAAGTCAAGTTGGTGGTTATGAAAGTTATTCAATATTAATTCCAACATTGTCAAAATGAATATTCACTGTACTTAGAGGCATCTAGTCAACGGTTAAACGGAGAGAGAATCAGTAAATTTATACATAATATTTGCAGATTATTAGTAAAAAAAATTATAAATTTAATTATTAATATTAATAAACTTTACTATTGATTTGATTTTAAAAATATGTATATATATATAGAGAGAGAGATGTAATTTTCCCTTAAAATAATTGTCAAAGTTAATGTGACATAAAAAGATCAAAATTGTAGGTGGTCAATGGCCTTGCAAATTTTGACAATGATCAAACCTTGTGCCGGAAAAATTTAAAAGTGGTGTCAAATAATTACATTGAAAAAATAAAATAAAATGAAAGTGTTTCCAAATTGTAGTTCGTTAATAGAAAACCTTTGCACTCTTTAAACTTCCCGTTGTGAATTGCCCCCAAGTGGAAATTGAAATTATAGGCACTATCTTCAATTTTCTTTCTTGAGGGAGAAACGGTAAAATGAAAATGTGAGTTAAATGTATTATTTTTTCATCTAAAATTGTAATAATCTGACCCTCGTATATGTTTTCTGGTATACTTTCGGTCCCCTATTCTGTGCATTTATATGCTTATTGTGAAATTTTGTGTGAAGAGAAGTTTAATTAAGTGAATCTTATGAATGTAGATTCACATCT